CTTCTTCTTCTTCTTCTTCTTCTTCTTCTTCTTCTTCTTCTTCTTCTTCTTCTAAGTGTCAGATCTGAAACGGACATCGACGATCAAAGTTGGTCACCAACACCTACATTACAGTAAGAGCTGTTGTTCCCCACTTATTAATCTGCTTGGAAGCTTTCGTAAAAAAATAGCAGTGTATCGTCCGGGTCTTTACCAGTGACGCATGTCTTCATCGTCTCTGTGTAGGCTACGATATTCTTGTTCTGCATTCAACTTTTGTACCTTCTATAATTCTTCAAGTGAATGCTACATGATAACCATCACGGCCTTCATGTCAATGAAATGACCCAAGAATACAGGGGGTTTTTTTTAAAAGGTGTTGTTGTTTTTTGTTGCTTTTTGTTGTTGTTTTGTCGGGTTTGCTTGGGGGGGGGGGTTGTGGTTGTTGTTGTTGCTGTTTTGTTGGGGGGTTTTGGTTGCTCTTTTTGTTGTTGTTGTTGATGTTTGGGTTTTTTTGCTCTGTTTTGTTTTGTATTGTATTTAAATCTCTTAAAACCCTGTTGGTCCACAAAAGGATGGACATTCATGGATTTTACTAGGCGCATGTTTATCATAAATCATTTACCTTTTTTAAGGTTCATATCCGTACATGGTGTAACGGTTGGGCGCTTCGCCGTCTCACACAGAAGATATGGGTTTGATTCCCATGAGGGGAAAAGTTTTATCGAGTATCTCTGTCTTTCCGTTGGGACGTTGTTGTAGTAATCCTATTAGCCTGAGTTGGCTTTGACAGACAGGGTCGAAGCTGTCCGCCTTCTACGTGTTCGACACATCCATAATTCGAGTAAACCGTAGATCTATAGCCTAAAATGTCAGAGTTCGGAGGAAAATTGTATTGAGCAGTTCTGTCTTCTGGCTTATGCCAGCTTCTAAAAGTATCTAAACTGTGCCGATGGAAACGTAAATATAACTACATTTAAGGAAAATTTAGAAGGAAAAGTGGAACTTGTTGGCAACGCTTTGCAAAAAAAACATCACAGATTTAAGCCTTTAAAAAGCATAACATAGATATATCACATGTAAGTTTGGGAAAAAAAGATAAATTGCGATTCACATGGCTACTTCTTTCGTTGTTTCTATTTTTTTTATTTTTTTTTGGCTGTATTTTTATTGGTTTACTTGTTCAGAAAAGACACACATCCATAAAATTAAGTCATTTTGGTCAGTAAACACTCAAACGATAGATAGATAGATAGATCGATAGATAGATAGATCGATAGATAGATAGATAGATAGATAGATAGATAGATAGATAGATAGATAGATAGATAGTACCGTCTGTAAAAGCACAAACAAAAATTATGAACCCGAAAAAGGCAAGTAACAAGCCATTGATACTTTTAAATCCATTTTTCTCACTCTATCCTCACTAGAAGGTTACATGTATTGTCACATTCACTTCACCAGAACCATACACTACTGATTGTGCTTAATGTGACTCAACTACCCTCACCCCCAAAAACCCACCCCGTTAATGAACACAAAACGAGCTCAGTGCTATCTTGTACTTTCTCCAATTTCTGGCTTAATGAATATTTACCACAGCTGATGACGCTGCTGAAATGTTATTTTCCCTGTGAGACAAAAATGCCCACGATTCATGCCCGTGATCTGTTGAATCTAAGTTTCATTTAGTACTACCACCTACTGTTTGCGCAACTGGATTACGGCGCTTTTAATTATAACAGATAACATTTTGAAAGGTGCAAATCTCCGCTCAGCAGAAAGTTCTATGCGCTATACAAAACTATATAATTACCCCAGCAGTCCTGGTAGCATTCTGAAATAATCTTAACTTCCTTTGAAGCAAGCAGTGCAAGCTGCAACTTTATAATATGTACTTAAACATTAACACTGACGCTGTTTATGACCGGGTACCCGTTCCCACCTGGGTGAAGTGAGGAACGTTCGAATAAAGTGCCTTTCCCAAGAACACAACGTCGGGCCTGAGGCTCGAACCCCCAAACCTGCAACCTCACGATTAGGGGCCTACAAGTCCAGTCGCCTAACCACTACACTATCACTGGTGTTTAGAGAACGTTCAAGAAGATGTAATTGCTATTTTGCTACCTCAGAAATACATAGTTCTATCTGACATGTTTGTCCGTTTTGAGTTACAAAGACCTTGAGGTCAGGAACCAAATGTTCTATCTGCTCTATCAAAACCGTAAGATTATTCCGAATCAGTATCAAGATATTCAAAGAATTGCATTCGAAAAAGCGTGACATGTTTTGAAACTCAAAATTGTTTACTTCATATTTCTCAAAACTATGTACTGGGCAGATAGAACTTTGTAATTTTATGGTAGCGATTTGTGCAGTGCGCATTCTTACAAGGAGGAAAAGTATTATGGATTTGCATAAATCTCTTTACAGTAAGCATGTTATCGTAGTTGGAGAAAAAAAACCATGCAAGTGCCTCATCACTGAAAAGATTAAGGGGATTCACCCACAAACAAGAGAACACGGGGTCAGTACAAGATACTATTTAGCTCGCTGCAAATAAAATTTAGATTTTATTTGAGGTGGTCACACTTTCCAACTTTTTCTTATGAAGACAGAAAATGGAAAGGAACGTTTCTCTGTACTTGGTATTCATGTTGTAGTAAACAAAAATGTTCAAACTCGAATTCGCCACTTCGCAAAAGGACACGACAGTCCACGCGACATAGAAATGGACCTCGTAATCGCCTCCAATGTTGAAATGAGGTTCGAATATGGTCGTGAGGAAAAGAACGGTTCCTGGAGTGAGAAACCCAATCAAGATACAGGCGACCATGACAACAAGTCTGATTGCTGATCGGTCTCGTCTGGAAGTCGTCGTTTTGTTCTCTGAAAGTGAGCTTGTCTGCTTGCGCCATTCCGACTTTTTCTTAAGCATAATCACAAGTGCGGAGGTTAATAAGATCAGCAGAATGAATGACGACATTTGAAGGACCACAGTGGCAATATACGTGATGTATTCTAGCTGCGGGGCATTTTGAGACATGACAAGACCAAAAACAGTGGCATTGTCTTGGGGAGAGAACTTCCAAGTTAGATGATATCCAACATACACGGGCATTATGGTGGAGATGACCAGTGCGTAGATGAAGAGAACTATTACGAAAGTTCGTTTTGGCTTCAGCATTCTCTTCACGTGAAGCGGTATGGCCACACAGAGACATCTCTCTAGAGTGATGTACACGGTGATAAGGCCCGTGATACGCGCGAAACATACACGTGGAAAAGACCCGGCCAGATACTGAACCTCTCTGTTTTTCACCCGCCATTCCTCGTACGGCATAAGAGGATTAAAACACTCGGCGAGAACCAAACCACCAACAACGGTTCCAAAATCGGAGATAGCCAGCCCTACCAAACCCACGGTGATGGTCTCCTTGAAACCTTGCTTGCAGAAGACGGTGATGTTGATGATGTTGCTGCCGATGCCGAAGACTGAGAGGAGGCGGTTGATGATGACGTGGAACAAAGTCTCTGAGACCAGGAGTGCCCAGTGTGGGCCCCTTGACACTGGCTCCTGACTCACACTGGGATTAATTGACATATTGTAACTGACGCTGGCGTCTGGAAAAAAAAAAGAAAATGAACTAATAAATAAATCAATCAGCATTATTTATCGAGTATGTCGGTCTTTCTGCTGGGATGCTGTATTCGTCTTAGCTCCGGTTGGCTCTGACAGGCAGGGCCAAAAACCCACCTGCCAAAAGATCTAAATTGTGTAAACTGGGTCGTAAAAAACTGCTTTAAAGAAAAGAAATTAAACTTAAAGACCTACTGAGCACATCTGAGGTCTCGACCGTATGTGAGGACTCACATGACCGAAATACACAAACGACGCTTTAACTTATTTTGAAAATAGGGGGGGGGGGGGTCAAAGCTTACGTTTATCGTGACATCTCGAACAACAAAATAGTATCCTCATACTTACCCATACTTGAATTGGGAACCCAGGCGACAGAATGTTGAAATCTGTCTTCGAGACGCACCTCAGTGCCTTTAGCAGGCCACCAAATACGGAGCTTTCAAGGCTGAGGAGATTAGTTAAAATTATCAAATAATATCTGGGGACAGATTCGATCAACTAAAGTTTCACTTTTTAACCCTCGTCTTTGTCCCCACCCACCCACCATCCACTTCTCTGTCTCTCTTTCTTTCTCTCTCTCTCTCTCTCTCTTTCTCTCTCTCTCTCTCTCTCTCTCTCTCTCTCTCTCTCGCTCTCTCTCTCGCTCTCTCTCTC